CATGTTCCCTCCGACTGGGGCTATTGAATAGTGCACACTTCAAAGAAGCAGACTAAATGGGCCATCAGAACTGAATCTTGGAGACTCGACAGACAGATTTTGTGAAATGTTTTCCCTTCTGGAACCCGCTAAATTCGTTTTCCACAGCTTACTTGCCATAGGAGAGGACCTGTTGCTTATTCAGATAATCTCGATAAGTGTTTGACCAATGCTTTGGGTTACTATTCACCAGCTATCTGTTTTACGGTAATTTTGTTTAACCTACCTATTCCTTTTTACTCAGGCTGCCGTTGCTCCCGTAGTCCGAAGCATGCTTTCACAGAAAAACAGATTCCGATTTCTACGTGCTCAGAATTCACCAGATGGAATGTTGGATTCCATTCTTTCAGCGCTGGTCTGCTTCAGCAAGGTGAACAGTAACCACTTAATGTCGCATGTTGTGCCGTTATTCATTATGCTCGCTTTTGATAGTATTCTGATTGATTCCAAGGTGTCTGTATCTTTTATGAATGAATCTCCGGAATACATAGAGATTTGTCAGTCTTGTTGCATGGTGTTTGTTACGTCGTTTAGCGACTGTTTCACCTGTAATCATACAGTGGATCTAACGATACTTTAGATTTTACTTGATCTAAGAACCTGAAAAACGTGGACAGACTGTTGGACATCAAAGCATAGAGCATATTCGACTGAACTTCACTTTATTACTGGTTTATTTTCGTGTACCATTGCTTCACTGTTATACGGAGACCTCATGCCACATGCTTTGCCAGCTAAACGACCGATTGTCACTGAAGTGCTTGCCAGCGTTTCGCGCAGATATGATCCAGATTGTTTTTCGAGCCTAGCACCGTTCGCAATGCCAATCGTCATTGACAGTCTTGACTGTCACCTATTCTGTTGCAGTTCCTAATCTTCACTCTCGGATTCGTTGCGTTCAAAAAGCGGAGGAACACTATTGTTAATTAATACGCGTCAGTTCTGAACTTTGTCTGTTCGTATGTACATTTCCCAAAGTTACAACAACTTTGTGTTCTTGAGAGACTAACACTTTTCAGTGGATTACATTGTACTTTCCACCGCCTCGGCTATCAAGTGCTGTAGTGTAAATCGCAGTCCCTGTTTTAAAACTTGCACATTCTCCAGATCTACTATATGTCCCGTGTCTAAGGCACGTACCGCCATCGTTGGGTCTGACTAGCGTTTGGTATCACAGCGTGAATAGAATCGAGGGTGTGGAACTGGCGAGTGTATGAAAAGCGGTCTTAGATAAGCCGAGTTGGCACGTGACTGTGTGGTTGTTAATCCATGTAGGAGTATTAGCATAAACTGGGTGTGGGGGTGGTATCCCGACCCGATCAAAGGTCACAGCATCCCTGTTACATAACTATCTTAGCACTAGCTCACCCACACAGACGGACAAAAAGTTCAAACGACGTTCAAACGACGACTGTCAAATGGACAGAACTAGATCCTAGACTGGACCCAAACACATGTAGGTTCCCCATCGGCCCAACATTTGTTCACCCACCCTAACACAAAAATCCCCCGGCCGACACCCAACAGAGATTTAGCTTGACTTAAATGATTGGTTCTTTTTCCGCCTTAAATCTCGACCAACCTCGGAACCTAGTCACTTGGCCTGACGAAGCTTTTGTGTCAAAAGTGGAACGTTGCCCAGCAGTAAATCTACCAATTGTCACCAAACTTTTCCGATGACTTAGGGATTGGTTTGTCTCCCGGAGCCATCCCTTCTCTTGGGGAAATTCTTCTGACCCTGGCTTCCGTATCACCTAATGTTCTTTCAAAATTCTACTTCTATCAGCAGCATATCCAATAATAGAATCCCAACCGAAAGCTATCACATTTCCCTGGGGTGATCGGGCTTGAGTGCTGCAATGATCTTACGGGCCACGTTGACTGGAACTCAGCTTTTCAAAGTCCAGCTATGCAGAAAAGGCCAATGGCTAGCAACCCGATAAAGAACAGCGAGTCGCCGTACTGCAGGATATCGTTTTACGAGACGGTTTGGAGGCAATGTACATTTTTCAGTGACACGAGTGTGAAGGCAGTAGGTGTTTCCCTCAGGCGACCAGTGTGCTGCCCAAAAGACACCTGCTGTGCGCGGCCTCATTTGGACTTATGCCATAGTCCCTGCGCCCTCAGACCACGTCAGCCCCCTGCAACCAAATGGGTCGGACTATTGAGTCGTTGGCTAGTAAGGCAGCTGGGATGCGTCACAGAATTGACCTGGTATTCGCTATCGAAACCCAGGTAGCTGATATAACATTTCCGGCCCACTTATAAATTTATTCTCTAAAGCATATCTAACTGTCCGATTCCATCGTTGCCCACAACAACTTAAGTTGCTTCTTCGTCCCACACATTCGCCATAGTAGAATATTTCTCAGCATCACGATTCTCCTGAAATCTGGATTCCTCATTGGATGGAGTATTCGTAGATACCCTAAGAAAATAAATTTAAAAAATAGTAATCGACCAAATACTTCTCGTCACTCGTAATTCACATCATATATGCCACCCCAAATTTTTTCTTACCTCTTCCATAGAACGACGAATTCGTGGGGCTTTTATTGGTGCATGAGGAATTCCCAAAGCTTATTGAACGCTTAACGGAGCTGGTGGTTCAATCAATGCCACAACAAGCAGGTCTGCAGGACTATCCCACATCACCCCTGAAGACTTCTATCGCCAAAAGCTCTGCGGATGCTCCAGCAATCGTAGCCCACCTACCAGTTAATGACTGGCCCACAGCTACCGTACACTCTGCATCCGATTCGCCCTCCGTTTCCCATTCCTCTGGTTCCCATCCAGAGTATCCCCTTCATCTTTCTTTTGCCAATTTTTTAGCAAATCTTTCCCGACATTCTGCTAGTGTCACGTTGGTTGGTGTACCTGGTGAGTTATGCTTGTACTCGTTATATCTCCACTTAGCCGAATTCCTGTGCCATTAGATAAGCGGCGTATGTCTAATGCAGTGTTGCGAGAGTCGAGTAGTTCCAGGACGGGATTAGAAAGGAGACAGAATAGGAAGACGTAATGTACGCTTTAATCGTCTAATAACTGTAGTACATGAGCTGAAAATAGAGTGAGAATCACGAGTTAATGGGTTATGCAAATGTATGGGTTATATAGTCATGACATTCTCCCCGCCTTGGAATAAGTGTGTACTTTGCGGAGAAAGAATGTAAAAAAATAAAACGCTGTAATAGTTACATGGAGTCGTTTACGCCTCTCTGTTGCGTAGATTATATGGGTGAGTGCGCTGTTGTCGGATAAGAATGTCCAAGTGATTTCCTGGATCTGCACTAGAATGGGATGGCGAGGCATCGTTAATAGGCAAGAGTTCAGTTTCTGAGCAACCACGGTGGATTGTTGGTGTTGTGTGAGGCTCCCCTTGTTCGGCGATATGTATTGGTTCCTGTTCTGTGTCGGATGTCATGTCGTTGCCTTTGGGAGCCAAGCGGCGCAAGGATACGGTTTCGTGTTTGCCATCTGGACGAACTATGTGGGCGTACTGTGGATTACAAGAGACGAGTTCCACTTCCTCTACCAGAGGGTCATATTTAGAGACTCGATCATTGCGTTTTAAAAGGATTGGCCCAGGGACAGTAAGCCAGGTAGGTAGGGAGGCACCGTTGGCTGATCGTCGTGTGAACGGCATAAAACGTTCGTGTGGGGTACAGTTGATACTAGTACATAACAGGGATCTGATACAGTGAAGAGCATCAAGGAGGACAGCCTCCCAATGTGTGACAGGCAAGCCGCGCGATTTTAGAGCCAGGCAGATGGTCTTCCAAAGGGTACCATTAAGTCGTTCAACCTGACCATTACATTGTGGATTATATGCAGCGGTGTGACTACTGGCAACGCCTTTATCGAACAAAAATTGTTTGAGTTCAGTTGATATGAATGCAGAACCGCGATCTGAGTGAATATAAGCAGGCATACCAAACAGTGAAAACAGTTGACTCAAACAACGAATTACAGTGGAAGAGGACGTATCGGCGCAGGGATAAGCAAAAGGGAATCGAGAATACTCGTCAACGATTGTTAAGAGGTACTTATTACGAGTGTTTGAGGGAAGTGGGCCTTTAAAGTCGATACTAAGGCGTTCGAACGGTTGTGTGGCTTTGATAAGCTGGCCACGAAAGGTGTCACAAAATTTTGGTTTGAGCTCGGAGCAAGTGGAACAGTTGGACACCACACGTCGGATATCGCTGACTGAAAAAGGAAGATTCTTAGAACGAACAAAATGTGCAAATCTCGTGACCCCGGGATGGCATAATATGTTGTGAAGCTCTTCAAGTTTTTCCGTCCCAGTAATGTTGGCACAAAGGTTACGAGATAGGGTATCAGCAACGCGGTTATCTGTTCCAGGTCTATAGACGACGTCGTAGTTGTACCCTGCCAACTCGATTTTCCACCGTTCAATCTTGTCGTTCTTTATTTTACTTTTCTGTTGGTTCCCATACATAAAGGCTACCGAACGTTGATCCGTAATCAATTTAAAATGTCTCCCGAGGAGATAGTGGCGCCATTTGCGGATCGCTTCAACTATAGCATATGCTTCTTTTTCAACAGCAGAATGATTTTTCTCGCTTGCAGTCAAGGTTCTGGAGAAAAAGGCGACCGGCCGGCTACCCTGGCTCAGGGATGCACCAATAGCGATGTCGGACGCATCAGTTTCAACAACGAGAGGAATATTGTAGTCGACAGTAACTACCATCGCATTTTCTAGTTCGTGTTTAAGGTTCTCAAATGCTGTTCGGGCATTCTCCGGGAGCGGAAATATTTTGTTTTTAACCAATGGATGAATTTTGTCAGAGAACGCCGGTATCCACTGTGAATAGTAGGCAAACAAACCAACGGCTCTTTGCTGCGATTTCCCGTTCTCTGGAAGTGGGAGTTCTCTTATGGGGCGCATGCGTTCTGGGTCAGGTCTTATAATACCTTTGGAGACCTTGTAACCTAAGAGAGTAATCTCTTCAGTTGCGAAGCTGCTTTTCGTATCGTTCAAAGTAATATTGTATGTTTTTGCGACATCGAGAAAATGCCTAAGATTACGGTCATGTTCATCTCTCGTTTTGCCGCATATAGTGACGTTATCGATATAAGCGAATGTGTCTTTTACCTGTTCGGCTTTGATTATATTGTTCAGCGTTCGCTGAAAACACGCGACCCCGTTTGTCACTCCAAAAGGAATGCGCCGAAACTGGTATAGGTTCCCCCCAGCTTCGAACGCTGTGAATGGCTTGTCTGACTCGATTATTGGAACCTGATGATATGCACTCTGGAGATCCAGTGTGCTGTAGACGGTGTAGCGTGCGATGGTTTCAATCATTTGGTCGAGCCTTGGTAAAGGATAAGCGTCAAGGTAGGTGAAGCGATTGATTGTCTGGCTGTAGTCTATCACCATGCGTCTCTTGTGATTTGCATTGCGGGTAACGAGCACTTGTGCTCTCCACGGAGAATTTGATGGTTCGATTATGCCATCGGTAAGCATTTGGTCTACTTCCGTTTGTATGAATTGTTCATCTTCCGGTGTATGACGACGAGATTTTGTGGCGATCGGTTTGTAATTTGGAGCAAGATTGGTGAATAAGGATGGAGATTCCAGTTTTGCGGATGTTACGCCACATACAGTTAGGGTACCCCGTTGACCACCGAATGGAATTTCGACTTTATCATGTAACCCCAGAAAGTCATGTCCGAGAAGGACGTCTGCACAAAGGTTCGGTAATACACAAAGTCTGAAACGTTCGTATATAGCATCCTTGTACTGAATGGACACAAGGCAATAACCTTTGGTGGAACATGAATGTATCGTCGACGCCATTGTTATCACAGAGTCGTACGGAAATAGCTCCCAGTTATGAGTTTGCAGGATTGATGAAGAAACGAAACTTCTGGAGCTGCCGGTATCAATGAGAGCTCGGACAACAACGCCGTTGACCAAAATATCTGTTGTAGTTTTGGATAGGCAATTGGGAGCAGCAGCACAAAATAGCGAGGAGATTGAGGAGTCTTGAGCTGAACCCGCGTGATATTTCGAGGCTTTGGACCTACAGACACGTTGAAAATGTCCAATTTTTCCACAACTCTTGCACACTGATTCTTTAGCGGGACACTTATAACGAGGGTGCTTGGGGTTGCCACAAAAGTAACATGTTTGTTGTGTAGCGGCCGAAACTGTTGTTTCGGAATTAACAATGGGTAAAGGAGTAGATACCGAACAAGTAACGGGTTGTCTGTATACGTATGATTGTGACTGTTTTTGTGCAAGTTCGAGAGCTCGCGCGGCTTCATGGGCTTTGTCAAGGTCCAATTCATGCCACGTTAGCAGTTTCTCCCGAATGGTATTCGACTGCAATCCGGTTATCAGAGCATCCCGAACTGCTTCGATGGTATGTTCCACAGCAGATACTGCTTTGAATTCACAGTCTTTAGCAAGCGATTTCAGTTTTTGAACGAATTGGTCGACATCTTGACCAGGTTCTTGTTTGTATGTGGCTAAAAGATGGCGTGCATACACGATATTTTTCGGGCGGATGTAAAGTTTTTCCAGCAAGGTTATCGCAGAATCCTAGTCGCTGCATTCTGCAATGAAGTCATACACTGTATGGTCGATGTGACGAATGAGAGTTTCCAATTTATTTAGACCTTCGGGTTTGATTGAGTTAATGTAAGCTTTGAAAGTACGGAACCAATGAGTTCATCGTTTCATGCCATCTGATGAGTGAGGATCGGCATCAAACCCGTAGGTCGGAGAGTAGGCGGGGAGAACATGATCCATTTCGTTTTTATTAGACGATTAAATTGTTGCGAGAGTCGAGTAGTTCCAGGACGGGATTAGAAAGGAGACAGAATAGGAAGACGTAATGTACGCTTTAATCGTATAATAACTGTAGTACGTGAGCTGAAAATAGAGTGAGAATCACGAGTTAATGGGTTATGCAAAGGTATGGGTTATATAGTCATGACATGCAGGTGAAGGTATTGTCTTAACTGATTGCTCATCAGACCAATACGTTCCAAATGTACACCAATATTTTGAATACCAGCTATGTAATGATAGCGTAACAAAAAGATGTGGACTAGAGGATATGGGGTCAACTGTTTCCTATGATTGTCAAACTGGAGCTCGAAAAGGTCGACTGATATGGGGTTCTGTGAATTTCTCTGAGGGGTAAGTGTTGTGTGGCAGAATTCACATAACTACCTATGCAGTCCAAAACGTTCAGCGCACGGCCTGTTTTAAGGCACTCATTGCACCTGTCCATGATTTCACCAGCATACTTTATACATGGGATTCGGAAATGTTGGCGCATTAGAACCCCACTCGAGAATAGCCACATGGTCTGTACACGTGGCCTAAGTGCGGTTTAGAAGTTGGATCTGTAGATTTCAGCGTTGTCTACAAGCAGGAGCAGACGAGGGTATTTGTTTACACATATACGGGAGAAACTCCCACACCATTACCACCACCCACCCGTTACAACTTCACTTAAAATTATTTGATAGAAAGAAAAATACATATGCTGAAATAGTTTACTTAGGTTAATCCGTACTTCAGGTTCGTTAGGAATATGACTACTGAAATGATTTACAAATTGCAAACTATTTACGATTCTTACGTAGGGTCCGATGATGACTTAGCGACTGAGGCTTAATAGCCTAGTTGAAGATCAGACTGAGTACATGGTCAGTCTTGACAGGCAGTGTCTACATCAGAGAGGGGAAATAACGTGTCCTCTTATGGATTAGGTAATAAGTGTCTCATTCTAACAACAAGCCCATAACATACTCGGAGAATGTGCCTTGGTGCAATTTGGCCCTCATTGAAAGGCTTTACCTCTTTGCTTTTTGATCATACCAAGTGGAGAACACAGTCGAACAATTGTTCTTCTCAGTGACGTCTTCCCCACCAGGAGAAAATTATCCATATGCTGAGTATCAGCTTGCCAATGCAGGTCTAGTTAGTTGATTAAAGAAACGGGTAACTCACCTCCTTCAAACCAACATTGATACAATCGAGATTATTTTGAGAAAAAGCCATTCAGAAATCCTTTTATGCTTGGCTTCCTCACGTACGGCGCACACACGGAGTTACTGCTAACTTGAGTTTCTCAATTAGGTAAAATGAGCAACGGGTGCATTTGGCTGGTTTGGACCTCTCTACTGTGCAGACACTCGGCCTTTGCTATCAGTCAGTTACTTCATCTAGTTCTAAATGCTGAAAGACCTCTCTATTTCTCTTCAGGTCTTTCAACTCTGCTTTCTACCTGGAGTCGTTCTCCGAGTTTACACTTGTTATTATTGTGTCAGAAGATACAACACAACCTTTCCATTCACTCATTGCATAGAGAAAATCCAACTTCATCCTCGACCACCTCTTCTAGTTCCGACATATTCACGGGACTGTTGTATTTCCCAGACATTTATCGACTAGACGCCGAACGGTAAGTTTTCTGGTGGGTTCAGTGAGTTTTTGCGGTCATCCCATCTTCTGTTCTCAAACACATTCGTAAGCGTTATCTCCCGAACACAGTCTCCTGGCCCTCCAGGTTGTCGTCAGGCACGGTTTTGCGTGCAGCATCTGCTCGTCACATGGTGCCGACATCTTCAGGAATCTCCAAATCAGTCCTCAAGCCTCGACACCCACTT